CCATCTATCAGGTTCATGCGTCTCAGTTCCTACAATATTTGCGTGATTTTGTGCTCATCCTGCGCAGCCTTATCTTTCTGTACCGTTTCACGTAAGAATTTTCCAGTGTCCCGCAATATGGAATGTATCTCGCTACATTCCATTCAGTTGAAAAGCACGTCCTATGTCTCGTGAGCATACGTGTGTGTGTGTGTGTGTGTGTGTGTGTGTGTGTGTGTGTGTGTGTGTATCTATGTCTGCCTACGTATACTGTGGTAGCCGCTGCTTGAGTGGATCGACCAATTTATCGATTAGGACACCTCACTTTCTCCCTCGCTCCGGTTCGTTAATCTTTTCGCGCTTCACCAGCCTATCCCGCTTCAACTTTCCATTCTATAATTGTAAACGCCTGATGAGATTTATCGAAAAGAGTGCTCTTCGCTACCTTTTGTTTTATCAATTCCATGAGTATAATTTTTGAGTTAAAATCACCTGACCCGACCGAGTCCCAACTACGGCGAACAGGAAGCACGGCAAGTGATCATCTGCAAGTTCTTTTACGGACAACAAAGGACGATTCACAGCCAAAACTATGGTTTATTAAGTTAATGAAAATTGCTACCGCAACGGGGTGGTAGTTTGTAAAAGAACATTGTCAACATGTGCGCACTTGTACCGCGTCTCGGAGTGGCTGAAATCTGCTACGTTGGGGGAGGAATTGGACTCCGCTTTTCGCAGCCATTACGCCGGAGTTTGTGGCGCTTATTTGCGGCGATATTTGACGGGCCCGCAACACCTCCTTTGAAGAGAAAGCGTACCGCTTCTGACTAGGATTGACCTAGAGGGATTTCGGCGACCTCCGGATACTTCTTGTTCGTCGACAAGACGGGTTCTCCAGACGCGGCGGCGAATGAGCGGCTTCGACCGTGGTCTCTCGTTGTGTAGCCAATCCAAAGGTATCCAACAGGATGGGCAGCGGCAGGCGCACAGGAAGGCTGGCTGGCGTGGCGGGTTCTCCGTGGTGCGCTCGAAGTTGATTGCAATGGCGAACCCACGTGTCATCACCAACGGAGACATCATGCAGCATGTCACCTCGCCTGGCCGTCACTTTTGCTTTGATCCAGCGTGGATGATCTGCTCGATAATCGCGAGCGTAGACCGGGGCTCCAATGAGGAATTCTTTGTGCTTGGTGCAGGCACTAGATTGACTAGGTAGCTTCCTAGTCGGAATGAGCGCTTCGTTGGTGGTGCGTAGCTTGCGGCCCATCAATGCTTCAGCTGGTGACTAACATCCTGGCGTAGCTGGATTCGGTGTGGACCGGTACGATAGCAAGAAGGCCTGAAGACACTCATCCACGGTCCGCTCTCCGTGAGATTTCAAGAGCGCCCTCTTGAAGATGTCAACAAATCGCTCCGCTTGACCATTGTACGGGGGATGGTAAGGCAGTGAGCAGAGGTGTTGCATGCAGTGTCGGCGACAAAAGTCTTCAAAGATGGAAGACCTAAGTTGTGTATTTTTGTAGGACACCAAAACCTCGGTAAGGCCATGTTGAAGGAAGTTGCGTTGGAGACAACGCAAAGTGGCGGATGCGGTTGGGGGGTTGACGGCGACCACTTTTGGCCATTTGGAATAGGCGTGGACCACGAGCAGATAAGAAATGCCATCGATGGGACCAGCGTAGTCAATGTGCACTCGGGACCACGGTTTTACTGGTGGGTGCCAAGGAACCGGTGATTAATATGGTAGCATCTTTGAGGTTTGCTGACATTTTGAGCAGCGGCGAACCAAATCTTGAATGTCGCTGTCAATGCCAGGCCAGTACACATAACTGCGGGCAATCGCCCTCATTCTGTTCATACCGGGGTGAGCAGAATGGAGCAGGCGGAGTACAGCTTTCCGGAGACATGAAAGAACAACAACTCGATCTGCAGTCAAGAGGCAGGAATCGGCCACGGGAAAGGAGTCGCGGCGTTGATGTGGTTGTTTGAGTTCAACAGACAAGGTAGTGTTTGGCCAGCACGTCTGAATGTAAGTGACGGCTTTCTGCAAGACAGGGTCTTGAGCAGTTGCACGAAGTACGTCGGCGGCAGTAATGGGGAGACTTCGGATAGAGGTGATAGCCTCGCATATGCAGGAGATGTCGCGCGTTATTGAACCATCGTTAGGGCCAACGTTTCAATTTCCTGATGGGGTTTAGGGTTCTTTCTTTTGAGTAGTTGCATCAATGTACGTACGTATGTGAGTTTTTATATGGAGAACGCTTGCCAGGAGAAAACCCACCACGTCCTGTGTTAGGAAGGAATACGCGATGCAAACTAACCAAGACCCCATCGCCGCGGCACGCGATCCAAACTCACCCGCCCTGATTGGGGCGAACAGAGCCAACCGGGAGAAGCGGCCAATTAACGCGAGGGCGGCGTTCCTTAATTTGCTGTAAGTTGACCTTTCCAGAGCTCTCCACGTGCGTTTTAAATACCATTCATGAACTTTCCATTTCACCTTTATAATGAACGGTTTGATTCGCTAATAGATCCCTGTTGCTCTGCTCGTCCGATCCGGTCTTCTCTCTGTCCTGTGACAGGCCAGCGACTTCGGGTTTTGATTGGGAATCAGCTCATTACTCCCATATGCCTTCAATCGTTTCGTTCCCAAGCGTGAACAATGCATGGACAGCATTCATCTTAACTGATAATGTTTTGTAGTCATTGTCTTGAGTGAAATCATCTTAACAATCGCGCCTGAACTGATCTCACTGCAACGAAACCGTGTCTGAGCGTGTTGCGATGGTTTGTATGTCACTGTGACCTGCTGAAATACCCGGAGTGCAACTTTTAATGGCCCTTTGCAGTTGCTTTTCTCAAACGGTTAGATGCTGCGTCAACTCAGTCTCAGTATTCTGCTTTTCGGAGTGTTGAATGTGCTCGATGGCATGTTTTCGGAAAACATTAACCACAGGGATTCTGAGGAGGCGAAACTGCTACTTATCATTTTGTGGGCGCCGGCCTCAAGACAAACAGTCTCTGGCCATTAAGATTCAGGTCCTCTAAAACTCTCTGGCGGTTTATCGTGATTTAGGGCACATGATCAGGTCTTCTAGCTGTGGGTCAACGCTTCTCATTGGCTTTCCAAATCCACACTGCGTCAGATCTAACGTTCTATGATTTTTGGATTGATTTGTTGTGCTGTCTCTGAAGCACATATACGTAGAGGCAGCATTCAATTGCTTTTATAACACCTTAAGTGTGTTCCCGCGTTGGAATTCACACGCTCCTGTTCCCCAGTGTTGCAAATTCGATGGGTTGAGACATTTACCACGTACAACTCGGTTCGGAGATTACTATTCCGTAATTGATTCCTGTGCACGTCTGCGCATGTGCTATTCGACTTCATTTTTAACTTGGAGTTACTGAGGGCCAGCCGAAGACGTCTTTTTTCGCTTTGGTGTATGCTTTCTGTTACTTAATCAAGAGGTTCTGGGAACTGACTTCGGTGAATAGCACTCTTTGCTTACTCGCGTGTCCAAAGCATGAATCTAGTGATCGTTACACGTGGCATAACTTGTCAAGTCGTTCGCATATCGTAGTCAACGCCTCGTCTCAGGGACTACTTTAGTGTTATGCTTGTGGTCCTAAATGGTGCCCGTTTTCTTCTGCCGTATGCGATCTCTGTTTCGGCGACACAATCGCTTGCGCCACTTGAATCGAATACAATCACTATATGCTGTTGATGACGCATGCTAGTCCAAGATTGTCGATCAGTTTGGAACACTCACCTTGCGTTCTATCGCTTTCGATTTCTGGTGTGCACGCGTGCCCTTGTGTGTGCACATGACCCCATCCTTCTGAATGCAATTTAATGCGCAACTTTGTTGGTGCTTGCTCGTCAGCTTAAGACCCAATCAACGAAGCGTCAATATAGGTTAGATTTGCAGCATGAGATGTCACTGATTAACTGGCTGAGACAACCAGTTCCGGTTACCTCAACTGCGGTATGGGTAAGATACTCAAAGCTGTTCCTCACTTAACTTGAATCATTTAGCTAGTGGATGCACCTCTGGGTCTGAGATTACTCTGGTGCAATTGCTGCAAGTGGTTTTGATCCGGCTTCGAGAATATACGGGAAATGTTGATAGAGAGTGAGGGTCTATGCAGTGGATGAGGCCAGCGCCAAGGTCCGTGAACGAACTGCTCTCAAACACATGGCTCCGTGGTGTTGGAGTTAAGGTATCAACCTTTAGTTTGTGCGTTCCGGATTCCATCTGACAAGTGCAAGCAACCACGAGTCCGGTTGTGGAGTGCAGCGCTGCGAGTGAAAAACCCCCAACCGTCTCTCCACCATTTGTCATTCAACCTAGCCGCTGACCAGACTCTGCTGTAGTGCCAGTCTAATTCGTATTTCCTAAATTGACTAGCTCATACCTCTTGCATTATTCCTGACTCCCGGCCACTTTGGAGTGTGCTACATGCCGATTTTTCGCCTAACTGATTGAAACCCCTAAGTCGCTATCTGCTAACGTGGCAAAAACCTATGAAGAAGCCCACACTGAGCCGGCCTAGGTCGTGTCTTTTTACTGGACGGGATCAACCCAACCCGTAGTTTAATATCCTGTCGGATGTATAGTCACGGAGCCGGTGATGCTCTTTCCTTCGCTCTCCCGCATGTTGCCTTTGCTGTGTTCACCTACCTTTGAATTCTCCTCATTTTTATAGATTTTATACCCTGCATTTTACTCGTCGTCACCTACTCTATCGTCAGCTGTCGTTGTTCTGGCCGTTTGATTGGAATATTCCGTTTTGATCAACTGATTAGTCTATCGGAATCTCTGGTAGTCAGTGGTCTGGTAGCAAATGTACTATATTTTATCTGTCACCCAGTTAAATCGGAACAGCGCAAGTTCAGATTCTAATTTGGATACTTCCTTCTCCTAATCCTTCTTACTCATGTTCTCCGCATCTTACTTTCTTTATCTCTACCACTACGTTTAAATCTCGAACCGCAATGTTTTAACTACTGCGCTCAGGACTATCTTTTACAACATCTGGAATCTGGCGCCAACCAAATTTCATCGATGCGGGATGAAGTGCAGCAGCTGCGCGCGGAAACAATGCATAATCGGGAAGTGGTTCGGAGTTTGGGCAGTCAGTAAGTAATCACTATGTGATGTTTGATTTCAAACCCTATCCATTCACCTTATCTAGCGGCTGTCTACTCTTGCAGTTATGATACTGGTGTCCGTTTGTTTGCTGCTGCCTGGCATGTCACGTTAAATTCATCTTCCTTGTACCGGGTGTTTTGTTAATCTGGTCCGGAGCTAGGAGCGGCTGCACTCAGGTGCTGACGTACAACCGGTACGCTGAATTGCTAACTGTCCAATGGCGCAAATTGCTTTGCCGGCAGGGGTGAGATGGGACACAGACGCCACATGTGTGCCTACGATCGCAGAGCACACCGAGCCGTTCGGCTGTGAGAAGTGAACGTTAGCCAGACACCACAGCCGCAATGAATGCGTCATGCCTCGACCGCATGGCAAGACCTAGGGAACGCACGCCGTTCAGCTGTGAGAACTGGACGTGAGCCGGACACCACATAGCCGCACTGAACGTGTCATGCTTCGATCGATCGGTAGTCGGCCTTCACGCAGGTGAAAAGCCAGCAAAAGGGTTTCCTGCGAAGTGTGTCGCTGTGCTAGCAATTGAGAAAAACAGCCTGGCCGTATGTGATGACCGATCGATGGGCGTCGTATTGCTATCGCCACAAAAGCTGTTATCGCCTCATGACTGGCTTCCAACAAACCCGTAAGCTTTAATTAGGCTGCTTCCGCTGCTAAAGGGAATCATACTGCCAGGAGCACATTGTAAGGTTATAGTGTTGTTCGCTTTACCGTTTCGATCGCGTGTGTGTTACAGCTGAAAATGCATCCTTCATGGGTGCGTTAAAACGATTTCTTGACTTGACGTGACAATGCTCTTATATTTCAGTCTGCTCCGACGCACTGGTGACGCCATTAGACAGCACACCAATTTAGTCATGAATGTAACTATTGCCCTCACAGTCAGAAAATTGCTAGTTGTACAAATTGATCAGGCCTTCGATGGTGTTTCTCGTGTACAATGGAGAATGTACCTTTATTCATTTCGTTACTTATATTTACATGAAATTTGTGAAATGTAGGTACATATCAACAAATTAGATGCTTGCAACATCAAACAAAGCGGACCGCCTCGCACCGTCATGGATGAAATAGCAGCTTGTGCGATTGCGCAAGAGGTATGCAGAAACAGCCATCTCAACATTCGGCAACTCGCACAACATTACGTAACCACACTGTATGCTGTGCATCGGATATTGAAGGGAAAAAATTCCGGCGGCGCAGTGCACTGGAGTTGCAAGTGTTGAACGCATGCGATTCACAGCAGCGCCTAGAATTCGCCTGTTTGTTTTTACACAGTCTGGACGTGCATTCCATTTTGTTCACCGATGAGGCCGTGTTCCCTCTGCATGGCGAAGATACGCAACATGTTTGGGCAACAACCAATCCACGGCAATGTAGCGCTTCGCGTGTGTAATATAGCGCGCAGCTCATGGCCTGGGCTTGGTTGACTGGTCGAAAAATCATCGGGCCCTTTTTCTTTTCCAGGAGTGTGTCCAGTAGGTTGTCATTTAACAGTACCAATGTCTGACATTTCTTAGCATCCTCGTACATGGGAATGTTGCAGAGCAGCGTTATTCCGCAGCTACAGTCGGAAGGGTTAATGAATAACGTTTGGTGGCAGCAGGATGGCGCACCTGCACATTCGGCGCAATCGGTTCGTTCCTACCTGAACAAGACATTCGGTGGACGTTGAATCGGTCGCGGAAGACCGATCACCGGATCTGAATCCCATGGATTTTTTCCTATGGGGATATTTGAAGCGCAGAGTTAATAGAGCGAAACCCAAAAACCTTGCCGAACTGAAAGTGAACATTGTGAACTAATACAGGCAGATTTTGTTGGAGACATTGCAGAATGTGTTCGCCAACACCATTCGGCGAGTGCTGCTCTGTAGCCAAAACGACGGTGGGCACTTCGAACATCTAATTTGTTGATATTTACCGACATTTCACAAATTTCATGTAAATATAAGTAACGAAATGAATAAAGGTACATTCTCCATTGTACACGAGAAACACCATCGAAGGCCTGATCAATTTGTACAACTAGCAATTTTCTGACTGTGAGGGCAATAGTTACATTCATGACTAAATTGGTGTGCTGTCTAATGGCGTCACCAGTGCGTCGGAGCAGACTGAAATATAAGAGCATTGTCACGTCAAGTCAAGAAATCGTTTTAACGCACCCATGAAGGGTGAATTTTCAGCTGTAACACACACGCGATCGAAACGTTAAGGCGAACAACACTATAACCTTACAATGTGCTCCTGGCAGTATGATTCCCTTAGCAGCGGAAGCAGCCTAATTAAAGCTTACGGGTTTGTTGGAAGCCATTCATGAGGCGATAACAGCTTTTGTGGCGATAGCAATACGACGCCCATCGATCGGTCATCACATACGGCCAGGCTGTTTTTCTCAATTGCTAGCACAGCGACACACTTCGCAGGAAACCCTTTTGCTGCCTTTTCACCTGCGTGAAGGCCGACTACCGATCGATCGAAGCATGACACGTCCAGTGCGGCTATGTGGTGTCCGGCTCACGTCCAGTTCTCACAAGTGAACGGCGTGCGTGCCCTAGGTCTTGCCATGCGGTCGAGGCATGACGCATTCATTGCGGATGGAGTGTCTGGCTAACGTTCACTTCTCACAGCCGAACGGCTCGGTGTGCTCTGCGATCGTAGGCACACATGTGGCGTCTGTGTCCCATCTCATCCCTGCCGGCAAAGCAATTTGCGCCATTGGACAGTTAGCAATTCAGCGTACCGGTTGTATGTCAGCACCTGAGTGCAGCCGCTCCGGACCAGATCAACAAAACACACGCTATTAATCTCCTCTTATCCATACAGCGGTGCGTCGCTTTTTTCCACCTATTTCTTTTGTCACTTTCTTTTTTCTGAGCTCCCATACCTTGTTGGTTATTCAAAACGTGAGTGATTTTTGAAAACACAGTAAGAAGACGAAGACTGGTAAGTGCACGCATTTCGCGTTGTGTCATTTGTGCCTTTATCAATAAGTCCTAATAATATTTATACATAGAAGGCTGGTGAAATTTTTTTCCCCGCTGCGCGCTTCTTTCAAGCTTATCGACTTCCTCGACAAACCTAATGTGTCCGACAATGTCATGTGCTCGTTAGATGTGAAATCGCTGTTTAGCAAAGTTCCCTTTCACCAAACTGTTGATTACATTTGTGAACTAGCAGAAGGTTCGCGATGTCCCCTACTGATGCCAGTTGAACTACCAATAGACTCGTTGTTTGTGTGTACGGAGAATGTCAACTTTCACTACACTAACACACCGTACTGTCAAATTGATGAACTAGCGATGGGCAGTCCGTTGGGCCCGGTGCTTGCCGACCTTTTTGTGTTAATGGTATAACGAGGTATGTCTGGAGAAATTTCTCGACTGCCATACTACAAACGTTATGTGGATGGTATTTTCATCGGAGCATGAGGTGGAGCAGTTGATAACTCAACTAAATTCTGCGCATGCCAACTTGCGGGTTTCTTGTGAGGTAGAGAGGCGAAATTGCCTCCCGTACTTGGATATCCTTATCAGCCGCAGAGGAAACAGGCAGATTAAGAGGTCTGTCTACAGGAACTCAACATGGTCCTGTCAGTATTTGCATTTCACTAACTTCACGCCATTGCGATACAAGCAGACGCTTGTGAGAATCTTGATTAATCGTGCCAGACGAATCTGTTCTGCTGATTGCCTGGCTGACGAACTGCAGTTGAGTACAAACACGCTCATAGAAAACGGCTACTTCCTACGGTTCATTGAGAAACATAGTCAAGTGCGACCAAGGGACCTAGTACACACTACCCAACAAGCCTGTACTCATTGAACTGCCATTCAAAGGTGACATTTTCTCATGGAGGATCACAAGGCGTCTGATCTGTGCCATGCAAACAACTTACTATGCCACCTTTGTTTTTGTCATTTATAAAACCCAAAAACTGCCACTTCCCTCTGTAAAGGAGTCACAGCCTGTCATGACTAAACCGCATTGCATTTACCACTTCATATGTGACTGCGGCGCCAGTTACATAGGCAGGACCGATAGGACATTGAGTTCGCGAATGAAGGAGCATGTGCCTTAGTGGGTTCAAGGTTCGACCGCGTAGGAAACTGGCCAGAGTTAAGCTGCTTGCCTGCGTAAACCACCAGGCTCTTCGATCGACCGACACTTACTGACCACAGGTCACCGAGTCGAGGTCAATTCGACGTTCACATTCCTATTGCAGCACACCAATTCTCGCCTCCGTTTCGCAGAGGCGATTGCAGTTAACCGGATCAAGCCGTTGCTTTGTGTTTAGAAAAAATTATCCTTCAGCATTGTACTGCTCTGGGCATAGGGGTGATAACCCCGTCTCGCTTATCGTGTATTGGTCTGTTTGTTTGTTTGCATGTATATTCGGTTGCACTCTTCTGTGAATAAATATTGCGAGTTATTGTTAATGGCACTGATAAGACAATACGAAATGCGTGCATTTGCCAGTCTTCGTCTTCTTACTGCGCTTTTCAAAATTACTAAATGTAACTAACTGTACCAATTGTTGCCAAGATTTTTGTGTTTTCATTGTACCAGAGCGCTTCATCTGTCTCTCGCATATTGAAGGACCGCAGCGACCCGGCTGTGGCATTCTACGTTTTGTGTCTCTCTTTCGTTTCTGGCTAAAGTTGATCCTCCCCACACGTCACACGAGGCTAGCCCGTAGGTTTTTCAGGCAAATGCCGCCATGCAATCGCTACTGCTTTTCTCCAGCATATGACTAAACGCGATTATGCTACATTATCTTCCACATGCCCTCACGTTATCAGTCGATACGATCGGATCACCTACATCTTCACCACGATGTGCTTTCCGATTTACGCCACATTTTGGCATTACTGCCACGTCATGTCGGTGACCCAGTTGACCTAATACATAAACGTTTTCGATCCGTATTCTTACCTTTGTGATGATGAACCCCGCTGTAGTACCGTGTCTTCAACTCGACAACACGTCTTTGAACCATTATTAAAGGTTGATCGTTGGAATTCTGCTGTGGATTTATGTTCCGTTGCTCGCACTCCACTACAGTTATATGCTTTCACCTGGTCACACGCCTCTTCGATATTGAATTTTGCGATTGATGTGTTGTTACCATGTCTTGTGTGTGAAATGCGTTGTTCATACTAAGGCGCTTCATTTGGTGCCCCTCGGCAGACTGATGCCGCACTGGCATGTCTGTTTAGCTTGAACTATCTACACTAGCTATCTTATCTGCTCATGTCATCAACCTAGACATCTATCATTACCAGTATGCTGCTTGAACGAGACCTTTTACGTCACAAAACGCATGGGGGAATCTGCACAATGGCTGACTTGCGCTGCTGCACGTCGTCTTCATTAATAAGTTGCATTGTTGGTTGCATATCCCATTTGTTATGCCGACTGATGGCCGAATGGATAATGCGTCTACTTTGTAACCCGGATGTCGTCACCGGTTCGAGTCTGCGGGCAACCCTCGCATTATCTCTAGTCTACGCCCGATTGGTGGCGCTTACGTGCCAGTGTAGCGTCCGTATGGCCTACTGTTGATGTCCTCCCATGGGAGGTATACAACAGTGTAAGAGCATTGGCACTTTTTCATGCCCTTCGCTATTTTTTGGTTGTTATCTGTGCTGCGTGATTTTTGCTACCTTTCTGCCCATTCCCTCTTACACATTGTTATTATTATTATTCTTATTCTGCAATCCTGTCAACTAATCCCACCGTACTTGATTACACGGATCCTAGTTGGCCAACTGATAACTTGTCCAACTACCATCTACAAGGTACTTTTCTAATGATCTTACCTTGTGCATAGGTTTCGTGGTAGTAAGCATTGTTGACGCAGTTTACGATTTATGCGATTCGAACAGCGTTCTATTTCGTAGTCCATTATTCGATGTTTTTGTCGGAGTCTTTATTGAGCTGCAACTTGGCGTGACTACATCAACCTACGTGGTTTCCCGAAAAGTACTGTCCCTCTTTGTTTGAATTGTTTCCATTCTGTGAACGTTTAGCCTTATTTCTATGTCAACCACATGACACTGAAAGTTCCCTTACTCATCGACATTGTTGTCCGATACTGTACATTCCTGCTACTGTTTTCCTCTTTAGGGTCAAAGTTTTCCAACAGCAAAAGTGTGCCCTGTGTCGTCAAAGTCTCGAGCCACCTTCTGTCCACTTTCTTTGCGATCATTCATATCATGTACTGTGAGTTTTTTCACGATTTCCCTTGTACTTGCATTAGCTTTTATTCATTGCTTGCTGTTCAAAACTTTACTCGATCGGTGTTCTTTAGTTTATCTGCCCATGAATCGGTCTCATCTTCTGTCGTAGCGTTTAACAAGCGAATTCTGACTTTTCGAAAGTTGAAAAGCGCAGTAAGAAGACGAAGACTGGCAAACGCACGCTCTTTCGTATTGCATTTCGTATTACAATACGAAAAGCGTGCATTTGCCAGTCTTCGTCTTCTTACTGCGCTTTTCGAAAGTTGTCCCTTTTAGTTATGGCTCATCGGCGATGGTGTGAGGGTTGATCATTGAACTTCATGTACAACACGTATACTTTCCCAATCCCTGGACTCTGTCGATAACGTAGACCAGTTTTGAGTGTATGCATACGCTGTCCTATCAGGTGGGATCGCCAGTTTATCACTTTAAGAAATTGCCGTCCAACACCTACAGGTTACTCGTCAAGAAGATTGCCATACCTGCATCACCTCTGTTACAATTTTTCCTACTGCGGCTCCTAGCGCCAAGTAAGCTGGCTCCCCCAGCTTCATATGGTTCATCGACGCTACTTTGTTTATCGCTTTCCCTGCAAATTTGCGATCGAAGTGAATGTGCATATATCCCGATGCTCGGCTGACAGCATTAGAATGTACAAACTGCATAGCTGTCTTTGGACCAGGCCCATCTGCTATGTAAGTTTTGCTGGTTAACCTTGTGACACTTGCTCAGTATCTTCAAGGTACTGCAGGAGAAATAAGCAGTTACTTCGTGCTCTGATGAATAGTGGAGATTTTCGTGTACTTTCAAATGTAATTCATCGCGGTCTCCTCTATTAGCAAGCCCTGACAGGTCTGGAAAAGCACCAAACAGCGCTGTTTCGACCTTCTGTGTCTTTTCTTGGGGCGCCTTCCTTGGACCCCTGCCAGGTTCCGACCCCATACCTCCCGGAAGCCAGCAGCTTGTGCCACTAAGCCATGAGTGACGGCCGCAGACCTGTATGACTGACAGTTGACTACGATATAGCCCGGCTCATTCTCCACTGTCATGCCAGTTATGAACTGTGTAGAGGATATTAGTTGGCACCACGAGCTAGGAACTTTCCGCTGGTGGCCTCCGGGAGCCATGGGGTCGGAACCCGGCAGTGGTCCGAGGAAAGCGCACCACTGACGGAACCCAGAAGATCCAAACAACGCTTTCTAGTGTTTTTCCAGTCGTGTCGAAGCCTGCTGACTGAGAGCGGACCGCGATGAATTACCTCTGTAAATTGTGCTCGCTCAACGGCTACGGGAAATGATAAATCCATTCGCTTCAGCGTATTCCACACATGAATGAACACCAAACGGCTCTTCCTTGCCTCCATCATTTAAACATTGAATGTACGTGGCCACAATATAAATTGTGTTGTCATGTAGCTTTGAAACATCACTACTGTATGTTGAGACCGTGGAAAGGCCATCCTTGTTGACCAACCGTGCGTGGCACGTTTTGCAGATATTTGGCAATGTTGTAGTTCGCCGGTTTGCGTTTGATGACAAACCCCCTGCTGCACCACCGATTCGACCTACAAGCTTGGGGGTTCAAGCTCAACCTGAGTCACTTTCTCGCATCTTTCCACTTTGCTGTCTCAGTTGGAAACCAAAGGATGACTACAATACAATAGATCTTTCCTCAAACCCATTTCTGATGCTCTGGCCACCGCAGAGGATAATCAACGGTGTCCTATCTGCTGCATCGAGCAGGGTGGATAGGGGTTTGGATGCTACTGCTCAAGTCTTCCCATCTTCTTATTCCCCTTCTTGCGCTTTTTCACCCTTCTCGTCCTGTTCCCGCTTCACTTTTATCCCCCCTGTTTTCAACCCCCCAATTCTCGGCCCTCCCCCACCTTGCTTCAATAGTCGCTTGTCTTTTAGTTTCAACTCACAGGTGAACGCAGAGCGTCATTCCTGCACTGTCAACAGGCCCATGTCCAAGCAAGCGGCCCATTCCAGTTCATCGGCTTCCATTTGGAGCCCTCGATCCCCCTTCAGACTGGCATGCCTCAATGTTCGCACATTGCTTCAGATCGGTCAACAGGCAGCAATTGCCCGAACATTGGAGACCCTCTCGATCGATATCTGCTGCTTATCGGGGACCCGCCTGCAAGGCTCGAGCTCTGTACTCACTCTGCTATCCCCTTCAGGTGACACTAGCAGCACTTTCTCATTGCGCCCATCCGATGACGATGCAGCTTCGAGCACCGGCCAAGCCGGTGTTGGTATTGCCCTGAGTCCCCGGGCTGAAGCTGCTCTGGTTGATTGGAATCCAATCAGTAGCCGGATGTGTGCGGTCCGATTGGCTGGCTCGTTCAAAACTTCGAAGTCGCGTGGGACTAACAGGTGTCTATTCGTTATCGCTGCCTATGCACCCACAAACTGTAGCGATGACTCGATAAAAGACGACTTCTATCACCAGCTGAACGAACTCCTTCGCCACAGAAGAAGCTCGGACACTGTAGTGCTGGCTGGGGATCTGAACGCTCAAGTTGGAATATTCTCCACAGATGAGCTGCATCTGGGCGGCCAACATGGTATAGGCTCCCGTAATGATAACGGTGAGCGGTTACTTCATTTGTGTGAGGATGCTCGCTTATTTCTTGCGAGCACTAATTTCCGACACAGCACCCGCCGGAGGGTGACTTGGCGCCCACCAGCCTCGAACCAGCTATGGACGCAAATCGATCACATTGCTATCAGTTACCGCTGGAGAGGCTGCATCCAGAACTGTCGCTCGATTTGGAGCACAGGTATTGACACCGATCATGCACTTGTATGTGCTGACCTGCGGATGCGTTTTGGCGGACGCCCGCGACGATGTTGTGAGCGCATTGACACCGGCAGACTGGTGAATCCAGCTGTTCTGAACGCCTATCAAATTACGCTGTCATCTGAGTTGGATAATCGCTCACTTGATGCAATTGAAGCTCACTGGTCTCATATGCAACAGGCCTTACTAGCAGCAGGCAAATCCTCATGTGGTACGTCTAATCGCCAACATGAACATTGGGTCTCTTCACAGTCTCTGGAACTTATAGATGGTCGCCAGCATATTCCGGCTGGAAGCGAACACAATGAAACTCGCAAAGTGCTCCTGGCGAAACTCCGTGCTAGCCTGAAGAGAGACCGCGAATCTTGGTGGTCTCGTCGTGCAACAGAGATGGAAATGACCGCTGCCCTTGGTAACCATCGTGAGTTATTCCGTCTGATATGGGAAACGGGCAGCAGGAGACCTGGTGTTAGTGAAACTATACGTGGCGAGAGTGGACAGCCTATCCGCAACATATCAAAACGCCTGGAACTTTGGGCTGAGCACTTTGAAAGGCAGTTTAATCGGTCGGAATTGTTAGATTTCTCGCCGACCAGTGATCGCCCTGCTCCGTGGACTGTTCCTTTGGATCCACTCTCTCGCTCAGAAGTCGAACATGAGATCAAACTGTTGAAGTTCAATAAAGCCGCGGGACCTGATGACCTTCCTCCAGCCCTCTTCAAATTCGGGGGACCTGCTCTTGTGGATGATTTACACGAGTTACTAGTGAGACTGTGGGAGCAGGAAACTGTCCCAACCGATTGGAGCCGCTCCATCATAGTCCCAATTTTCAAAGGAGGGTTACGATCGGAATGCGGCAGCCATAGAGGAATCAGTCTGATCTCCATCGCCTCCAAATTGCTTGCCTTTGTCATCCTTCACAGACTGACTGGCACTCGTGAAAGCCAGATTCGTGAAGAGCAAGCTGAATTTCGTCTAGGTCGCGGCTGCATTGACCACATCTTTACGTTGCGTCAGTTGTTGTAGCACCGTCACATATATTGGCGGCCAACCATTGTCGTGTTCCTCGATATCAAAGGTGCATTCGATTCGGTGGATAGACATGCACTTTGGGACTGTCTACTCAGGAAAGGTGTACCTGAGAAATATGTGAATATTATCCGAGCATTATACGCGCGTAGCTCGGGCAAAGTGAGGGCTTACGGCAAGTTGTCGTCGCCCTTTAATATCTCCAGCGGTGTGAGACAACGATGCCTGCTGTCACCTTTCCTCTTCAACTTCGCTGTTGACGAAGTCATGGAAATCGCGTTCACAGGACACGACTTTGAAGGTGTGGATCTGCTTCCAGGAGAACGACTTCTTGATTTAGAGTATGCTGATGATATTGCCCTGATCTGTGACAGCTCACAAACGTGCCAAGCGGCACTGGACAGATTAGCACTAGCTGTCCGTCACTTCGGGCTTTGCTTCGCACCCTCGAAGTGCAAAGCGTTTCTCCAAGATTGGTCTGGACCGTCCCCTATGCTGACCCTAGGTGGGGATCAGCTAGAAGTCGTTCAAAAATTCAACTACCTGGGAAGTTATATCAGCGCCCGTGGGATTGAAGATGAGATCACGAATCGTATAGCAAAAGCTCGGGGCGCTTTTGCTAACCTTCGCCACTTATGGCACCGGCGCGACATCACTCTTGCCCTGAAGGGTAGAGTGTACAATGCAGCAGTACGTTCGACCCTACTGTACGGTTGTGAAAGCTGGCCGCTTAAAGCAGCGGACCAGAAGAGGCTAGTTACCTTCGACCACCGTTGCCTTCGTAATTTAGCTCACATTTGGTGGAACACCGCGTGAGCAACGGGCGTGTTCGACGCCTTGTTTATGGCACAGGAAAAGGAAATGAACCGCTCAGCACCGTTATTTCACGCATCAGGCTCCGATGGCTCGGGCCACGTGTTACGCATGCCAACCCACCGACTTCCGCGGCGTGTGTTGTTTGCGCGCGGGGGGTGTGGATGGAAGAAGAGGAGGGGTGGCCAAGCGATGACTTGGTCGAGAGGAATGAAGGCCCTCACTTCGGAGCTGGCCTCGATTGGAGCGTCTCGGCTCCCTGGTTGGGGTCCGGAAGACGATGAACACGTTTGGCTGGATACACTTGTTGATATGGCAAGGAGCCGACCTCAGTGGCGTTCGTGCTGTGAGTTTCTTTGTCCCACCCCATCCCTCTTAGCCTCCCCCTCCAACCACGATCTCATTATTTAGCATTATATAATTTTGCATAATAATTTTTTTGGGTGCATAGTAACCGGCTGTTAGCTTACCGGAACGATGCCCATCCGTTACCGGTAGCTCAGCCAGCTTTCACCAGTTGTTTTCTTTTTCTCGTTCATTTTTTTGTATTGCGGCACAGTAGCTGAGGTGTTCCCCACCTCTAGCTGGCGTGTATGATGATGATGATGATGATGAGCCGTCACTGATAACCACTGTCTAATAGCCTGCCCATCGCCCCTTTTCGTGCAGCCCTTCTACCTTCTTCCGTTGTGCACACGATCTGTGTCTCGTTGAACAGCGATGATGCTAATCCCGCTTAAACGTGTTTTGAATGACCTGAAGTATAATGCAGTTCCCATCGGTATCTGTTGGCTCACAATAGATTATTATTATTATTATTATTGTTATTATTATTTGTGAACTAAGTGTCCAGGAAATGGTATTTTACCACTGCACGATTCCGAGTCCACATTGAAGTTTATTCTCCCGTCAATGCAGTTTAGGTGGTTTAGCAAGTCCTCCTTTCTCTCTTTTTTTCTTATCACAAGAGTATTGTCTACAATGCGAACTTGTACATGGAAGACTTCGAGAAGAAAGCAGTAGTAAACTCCGGTAGCTCACTGAAAGTTTGTCTCTCTCACTTGCTATAAAACGCCGCACCAACTATGAACCAATTCTCTTGCCTTGACAAAGCTTTCTTGTCCAAAGCGAAATGTTGCTGACTAAATAAACTAAGCGATTTTCACAAATTCTCCGCAATCAATACTTTCGATTAACATTTCTCACATCGTACTCATGCAAACCGGTGAAGTTTACAAACATGTACAATTTTTCCCTCTGTGCCTTTTTCCGTGTGGGCATTCTTCCGTGAGCGTTTTCATCATGAAATCATGGCATATTCCTAGCAAATCACATTCGGGCCTAATGATGGCACATCATCCTCATATGACATCAATCGGTGCGCATCTAGGTGGATATATTCACCTTTTCATGTTGGTATTTGAATCTTTGGTAGAAAATGATCGTGCTTTCTGTGATCCTCGCAGTATCTGCAAACGTGCACAATATGTGCCTTAAGCATAAGTAAGCCGCTCATCCCCTCTCTCGCTCATTTCCCTCTTTCATGCCTGTCTGTATAACGTGTGAGGGAGGCGCGTGAACGGATTTGGGATTCCTTTAGCGCAGCGGAACTGCTAGACTGTGTTATTCACCACTACTGTAATGCGGCGTAGCATCTGGAAAATCTTCTACGTTTATTTTTGCCCGCATACTGGGAGACTTTGTATCAAATGGATCAAAGGCTTTTTCTTACCTATTATCCTTTCCGAACGACGCGGGTTTGCTATGCTCACGTCAGAATCAATAGGATTGGAGGTACTATTCAGAGGCACTTTCGGGGGAAGTTCCCACTGAACGTTATACCCTGCAATCCGTTTTGTTCCTAACTGTGCTCTATAGATAGTTAACTTACTAGGATTATTGTCCAGGATTTCATGGCAGCTAGCGGCCTGATCATTGCTTTTGATTATGGTTGCCAACTGGCCTTCACTTGGTGTACTTTCTATTGGATATTGCCGTTGTTTAATGTCTTATCTATGTTCATTTACCATGAACCTTATTTTCAACGTACATCCCTGTTGCTCTGCTCATTCGGCAAATCGACAGATAAAGTCACACCATACACCGGAGAAGCGTTGGACCGTAGTTTTGTTTCCTCTTTCTTACCCTTCCCTCCTCTAAATGACCCAGCATCCCTCGAAGACAAATTACACACATTAATTATGGTCAGTTGTGCAGTGTGGCGTTGACTACTGGGTGTCCATCTACTCTCTCCCAGGGTGGAAATGTGTGACAGCCATCTCGTGTACCAGCCAATCAACCTCTTCTTGCCGCCTCCGTGGCACTCATTCCATAGATATCTACTCAGTCGGCAAACGTGATCTCGATGGTTGGTAGGTTTGTTCGCGCCCCTTGTGCTTCCTCTGGCGTCAACCGATCACAGTTGCTGCTACATCACTGTATCGTCAACCATCCAGACAAATTGGACAAACTGTCATTGGACCCATCGGATTGTATTGTGACCACCTCTTTCGACCCACCTACTCCGCGTGCTTTTCTCCCCCTGTTTACTTTCTTCTCTCACTAATGCGTACGGAATAGTCATGACGACACAACGCTGTAGCATTCTGATTCATCACTGGGCGTACTCAGCGTGCAGTTCTATTGAAACCCGCATATGTGCTACAGGTGTTCAACATTTAGCTCGCATTTTCACCCGAGCTTGTGGGTTTATGGTTTGGACACCGCTGATGTTTGAGTTTTGTGGACGCTTTTCTTCGTTATGCTAGCATTTACCTGTCTGTCGGTACGGTGTATTACAACTGGTACAACTATCTTCACCGGACACACGAACGGACTTGTGGTGCGCTCATCAGCATGACCGCCTCCTGCCTTCCTGCCTCATAGCTTTGTCAACCTATCCATGGATAGGTCCGATCACGGATGTTTTGCCTTTCTTGTTGACCCAGATGTCAATTACGAGATGCTTACTACTTGATTCTAACGGATGACTCAATACACAACTCCATCGTTATTTATAGCTTCTTCTGACGGTTCCCGACCTCCACAATCTTAATTATTCAGTTGTGGCGCATTGGTTCGAGATGTTACTATTGATGATGTAGGTGATGTCCAGCTGTTCTGTGAAGAAGTGTTCTTAGATCTCCGTTAGTGTGTCTACCCATCAGGTTTATTTGACGTGTCGTTATTTGTTCCCCAATCGCAAGTGAATTTCGGGGTCATCATATGTAGGCGTGGTTAATTCCTCATGTAATAGTTTCATAATGCTCTGGAACTGCCTCCACTGACCACAAAAACCGTAAATCACACGCATCATCAGTGCTCCGATAAGATTGTCCATAGACAAGTCGTCTCTCTCTGCCTTTGGTTGCGCCCCTTTGTATGGTATTCAGAATTATCTTTGTACTCAGCTATGTAACGAATTGCTTGGTTGTTGTGAACTATGTGCTTAACTGCTGCATGCACTCACATCAAATTTTCCTCTACTACGGACTTTACCACACTTTTGCTATTTCCCGACTGTAACACTAATAGTCGCCTCATACTTAACTTCCTGCTTATATTTTCTTCCTTACTCATACCCAGTTGCTTCGAGAACTACGCCTCCGGTGATCACCAGTGTCCAGCATGCACGCCGAAAAACAAGTGAGTGATTGGTTTACTTTGTCCCCTTCGAACAAACCCATCCTAGGCGGCACAAGCGCGTACGGATGCACGAATCTATCCAAAACCTCGGATGAACAACGTACTAAACGTGTGGGAACACAGTGGACCGTGTGCTTCGCAACCCTCGAACACTTATCAACTGGCGTGCATTTCTTGGGTGACCACTAAAATGTGGAACACGTCTTGTTGGTGGGCCGGATTAGCAGATTGAAGGAGTACACCTTGTATAATTTTACCGACTGTAGGCTTATTTCTTGTAAAATCCATCGAACCCGTAGATCCAAAGATGAGACACTCAACGAATAGCGTAGCTTGGGGGTTCCTTCTCCCGCCTCAGTCTCAAGATAGTGTGGATGTTATCAGATATGAATTTACTCTGGCAATACTGAACCGTCTCCGGATCATTAGAACAACAGATTTTGCCAATCAGTCTCAAACACATTAGATACTTTAAGGATTTTCAGACGCCCATATCCGATGTACTCACAAAACTATGGCGGATTGGCGAGCTTCTGCAGACTTTACGATTATCTGCGGGTACTTTCGACCTACAATTTCAATATCATCTGTGTTGAAATGTCATACCTACCAATTACGTTCTTACATGTCTGGCTCTGCTGATCCACCACGAAATCACAACTCCAAACATTGTTGCTTCTTGGGCATGGTTAATCCAGGCTATAGCATTCGTCTGCCTTTGGAATAGATGATTGAGACAAATGGCACATTCTGCGCTTTCACCTGAATGGTTCGAGCCAATTAGCCACCCCATTGTCCCGGATGCACCGGGCATCATGCATCACACGGCGTTTCTGTAGTGTTTGGCCCAAAAGTTCCAGGGTACTTAGAAGATTGATGCAACGCCACTATGCCAGTACGTCGCTACCTTTTTAGTCGGAACGCCTGAGGTAGACCATCTCCCTACCCATCGACCTCGTCATCGACTGAAACCAAAACGTTTCGAATGGGTTTTACAAATGTCTTTATTTAAACTAAATTCCTGAACCGCATCTTTTGTCAACTTCCGAGCGACTAATGTCGTCGCTTTTATCAACGTGGATATACGCACTCAATGGAGAACCTCGCAAAGCGCATCTATGCAATAAAAGCAGCCGCAACTGTGTAGTATGGCACCACAGATCGATCGGTTCACACTGCACAGGGCATTTCAACGAGCATGGGCAGTCATCAGCCAAAATGTTCACCTAGACACTGCCTTGTAATTGATACGCCCATCCATCGAGGTAGTTTTGCCACCGCATCCGTTATCCCAATCAACATTTCACCGGACAAGTGTTGTTCCAAAGTTGGGCTTGGGCTTGAGTTCCAGCCCAACTCAGGCTATCTCCAACTGATGAGTCCCAACCAGGACGAAACCGCGGTCTTGGGGTGCCAGTGTTGGGATGCGCAACACTACAAAGTGTTGTTCCTTCTCTATGTCACTGTAACTTGTGAACTGGCTCTTGGTTCACATTTGTGGGGTTGTTTAGTTCCGTCTTTCGAGATAAAGTTAACTCAGTTCTACTCTGGTATGTGTTCGATGAAATGACATTATTCTTACTAAAAATTTCGCTTTCTTTACTTCGCGTCCACCTCCGTTACCACCCAGTGACAGTTGCTCTAATCCTGTCGTTGCATATCTTATCGGCTAATTTCTTGGGTATGTTCTTGGTGTGTTATTCTTTTAATCATTCCAGAGGACTGTTGTCTGACACGGCCATTGCTTTGTCCATGAATACACCGGGTATCTCAGCTGACTGGATTACGGCTCAGCTTCTGGCTTCGTTACATACAAAGACCGGTGCCTCCGACACGGCGTCACATGAAGCAGGAAATACGTTTGCTGAATCCACCCTTCCGTATGCAACTAGATGTGCACTCACCCAACCGACGCCTTTCATCTCGGGTGAATTGCCACAGCTTCAAAACTCCCCTCGTACCATGCTCAAAAGCCATATGTCTACTGATACAAGTTCCATGAAGTCTGGAGATTCTTCTTCTTCCCGCATGTGCGTCACGTTTGCCTCCTGTATTTCTTTTTCTTACGTAAACACCATTGTGGCCATGAATATTTGCTCACCTTGTTTGCATTTTTTTCTTCACTGCCTTCCAGGCATACGTCACCTGTCAGAGTCTCACATTTTTATGTCAACGCGTTTATTCATATTACTAACTCTTCCCTAAAGCACTACTCTCTGTGCCTGGTCTCTTTTAGGAACCTTTGTGCCCAATTCTTAGTATCACCTTTCCGACCGCTCTTATGATATTGAATGATGGCTAATAGCTAATACTGTGGCCATCTCGTCTTCCATCGGTTCTTCTCGGCTCGAGGTTACCTGACTCATTTTAACGAAATCCACTATAAGAGCAAATTGACCGCTTTGACGTGACATTTATAGTATATCCGTTTGGATGTGTAAAGTCTATTTTGACTTGACAATCTCCTCCCCGTTCGAGTAGAAACCTCACCTATGGATTCTGACTCATTTTATGCGTGCCTCTGGAAGTACTCGTGCTTTTCTCTTGATGCATGTATTTCGTGTCCCATCTTAATACTTCTTTAGGAAGTGTTTTGAAAACGATCTTTTCACAAAGACTGGACAGTAATAGAAAATGGTAAGTTCTTGCGAACATCAGACAATCTCCCGGATGCCATGGCACTTTATGTCTGCCGGTTATTATCTGTGGCCCTGGACATCCATCCGTTCACAAACTCGCGACGGATGTTGCGCGATGCGGCCCTGAGTAATGCGAAAAATCTGCTGGATAACTTGATTCGCTAGTGAACTTTTACTAAAAGCTGCTGCTAACAATAAATGGAATAATTTCCCCAATGCACTTTGTCATGGTCCGACTGGTGTATGGTGTAAATTGCTCGTCTTGATCAAAATCCCCCTATGACTAGTGACAAGATTTACATGTCTCTTGCTTTCCATCTTGTAACTCACTTATAATCTCATCTTTCTTTGGACTACTCTATTGGTTATGGTCTGATTGCATGTGGTCCAAGTGTAAGATGTTCAATGGCAAGCACCTCAATGGGATATAGGTTTGCTTCCGAGTTGGGCTGTCTCGACTTGTAGAAGGTGAATAAGCATCAAACCATTTGCGTAATTCAGTGTTGGGAAGGAGCAACACACAATATTTGCCCACTTCAGGCTCTCTCCTGGTGTGACCAGACTGGTCTAAATTCACTTTACAATAACTCCCGGTGCAAACTGATAGTGCGTACCGTAAAATACATGCACACTGGTCACTGCGCGTCTTCGGTCACATGGGGTGTTTTCGAATAAGCACCACCCTTCCGATTCGGGCGCTGTGACTCTTAGCTTGTGTTTCTGTGTGCCTGCAAAATTCATCGAGCCTCGAGTTCTGCATGGACATGATTCCGATGTCTTATTGATTGCTGTCAAACTTGATTTCGAATGGAGAATGTGCCTTATGATTATCAAGCACTGCGGCATCTGTGATCTCATTCCCAATCTCAACACAAACCCCCTCTTTTTTCTGGTCAGTTTCCACTTGTGTGCCACTGCCTGAGAAACGTCTCCACTTGCTAACTTTTCCGTTCACCCTGGCTTTCGCATTTATGGTAGTGTAAGTAGTGTAGCGTGCAAGCGGAATTGTTTACTAGGTGCATCGGTTCTGCCCAACGCAACATCCACTCATCTTCGCACTCCTTGTTGGAAGTTTCATGGCGCGGATTTCTTTCTGTGTCTAACGGTTGTATGGTGTGCATCGCTCATGCGTCCACTCCTCCTGCGCATACAACTGCGGTTACAATGTTATTTACCTTTGGGGGAGTCATTACGGCCTGTCGTTAGCTGGTTGCCTTTTTCTAACCCCGGTATCTCCATACTACTGATAACTGGTGCAGTAGTGTCTGCCTTTAGTCCACCACAGTAGGATGCATGTCCTCTTTGGATCTGGTTTCATTCCTGCAGAACTCAGTGCATACAAATGGAGGATTTCCCATTTTCCGCAAGTCGATTCATACCCCGGTTGGGTGTTACTTTGTCATAGCGCTGCGTATACACACTGTTGTAATCATAATTTTCCATAGCCCCCCCCGGCCGAGTACGTCATTTGGTGCTTATAGTGGCCACTTTAAATTATTTCAAGTTATGTTGAAACCGATTTTCACATTTTATTGTATCTACTGTTAAGATATCAAAGTTGCTCATTGCAGTACAAACTTTGTCTTCGTGCTGTTTACTTTTAACCGAACTATCCTATTCTTCGTTTGATACATAAAGCTAACCCTTAGCAGTCTAAGACTAGTTTAAATCTACTCCTGCACGTTTCTTGTACATAGAGGCTAAGTGATATGAATTGCATTCATTCGGAGCGTTGAAAGTAGCTCACTTGATCTCACGTATGTGTGCATTTTCAGAAGCCATACTCATCCATCTTCGCTTACGGCCAGAGAAAGCTTATTTTAAGTTCTTTCGATTTACTCTCCTCTCCCTTTTTTCTAAACTAGCCCTTAGTTTTTGACAGATGATCTCCTCCTCTGATCTCCAGTGTGTTTCCACACGTAAATTGAAGCCTCAATGAATCTCGACTGACTACTCACTCAGTTTTGTGCAAACGCGGTTTCTGCAGGGCCATTTGACTGTGCAGGATATGCTCCATTCATTGCGTATTTCACAACGATGCCTCAGTCGGTGAGCATCGGGACTGATTCAACAATTGGATGTTAGGCAGCTTATGTATGGATTATTTTCTGCTTTGTTCTGCTACCAACTTGGCTTTCACAAGCATAGATGTTTCCTTAGGTATTTCATGATACAATTCACATGTCAATTTATATCCAAGCGCACTCGCGCTTGGACAAATGACGCTTGAATTTCAGATCCCACATTGCATTTAGTTCAGTCAAAACTCTGATGCATTGGTGTCGATCACTCTGTACTGATTTTTGCCCCTCTATGTGCTACTCACTTGATCACCGGTTTGACGGTCCATCTGCCTCACTTGCGCAGCAACGGCTCACGAAGCGGAAGTTGCTCATTGTAAATGGCATGCACACCGTACCTATTCGTCGACATTCACTACTTTTATCTTCATTTTTGTGTGAGAATTTTTGCATAATTTTCTTTTTTCTTGAGTGAATATCACAGAATTTTCACACTTCGTAGTTCATGCTATCTGGTTATCTGGCTGTTTGCCGAGCTTCGCAGTTTTGTCACACGCATTTCGTCGCTATTCGAAGCGACGTCACCAATGCGTTGATGTGTGGCGTAGCGAAGTGATGCATGGGTTTTATCTTCCCACCCCTTTCTTTTATATCTGTCTATCGACTCTTTTTTACAGTCCTCCCAAGACCTCATTGATGTTATCCCTAGACGTTCAGCCGACTGTGGCAAGTTCAGGTCCGATGCGCTCAGTCTCCACAGGATACTATTCAACGGACACTGTTCCATCTCACTCGAAACGTATCGAACCTGCGTTGAATGTTGGCCGTAACCCTTTTGGTGATACTGACACTGAAGAGGAAGAGTCCGTTAACATGACCGAAGTCCAGTTGGATTCTGCGGACTCTGGCATTCCTCCGAACCTGTCAACTCCGTTTGATTGATGTTTATGCGGAACCATTGTGACTTTTGCTTTCTCCTTTTCATTGTTGAGCTGTTTTCGTGTCACTCGCCGGTGATCTCAGCAATTTTCAACAATGTCACAAGAACCCTTCATTACATTTCCCGATTTACCATCACCCCCTTGCACCACATTTACTGGTTAGCATATTTTGTACGGCACTGTTGAAGAGCGATTTCGGAAGTCATATTTAGCCGGCCTGGGGCTTGGTGGAGTTGAAACAGTCAAGCACACAAGGACCATTTCCCACGGATTTTCTCTTTTGATCAATCACTACCTTTGATTCTGTTTGTTCAAAACCTGTTGGAACGCACGAATTCAATCTTGCGATTGCATTCTTTGAGTGACTGTTTTTCGGTCCCATTCCTTCCCGTCACTGGTAACGGGCTGTACGGCCGCTACCCACATTACATGCTCTCATCTATACAACACTGCCGGAAATCCTCTGGATTTCTGCGTTATCTTTCCATTTTCTTACTCATTTTTGACACCTTTTCCTGACCTTTTTTGATTGAGTTTGATCTGACCTACCGTTGTGGATAGTGGGAGATCCTTCGGCTGAAATAGAAATATCTCCTTTCGATCTAGCACAGGCAACTTTGCATACATTGGTTGCCGTCTGCCCGAATGTTTAGTGGTATATTAGATGTCCACACTCTTAAGGGACTTTTTTAATCGCCTGTTTTTGACTTTTGGTTCGGAGTGAATATTGTTCATCGACATCGATAGCTCTACAGTGTGATACCACGATTGTTCCCTAGGCTCGTGCTATAACTCCTCTGCTTTTCCACACACGATATCCTTGAGAAGAGATAGTTGATCCATACGCGTTGTGGCCCAACTCCTATGCCCCCCCCTATTCCTGTCACTCGAGTTTTTGCGTGCGGTCTGCTTTCTTAGTGAATTGAATGTTTTGTGGATGAAGAATCAGCAACACTAGATCATTAGCTGTCAGGCTTATCATTCAGCTTCTGTCGTATGCAGTGATTGCACTGTTAACGGTTACACCAGATAACTTGCGGAATCCACGTCCTCATTATGTGGGCGGATCTTAGTTTCTTGTAATCGTTTCTTCCCTCTACCTCACAGTGAACCGAGCATAATTTTACTGGCCAATTACTCCCGTCTTCAACGGTCGGACCACCACTGCCTCAGCAATTTTCTCCAAGAATTTTTAGAATGGTCCCAGATCGAACTGCTTAAACAAAAGCAAGTGCACTGTGAACAAAGCGGATACTGTGAATTATAAAACCTATACTATGTACGCGATCTGGGGAGCCAACTGATGTAGATTTGATTTATGTATACCGATAACCCTGGCTTTAGCTCACAGAGTAATGCACAGTGTAGAACTCGCGACTGTGTTTGCTGCGCGTGGGCAGCAGGCAGAACCAGTCACGCATAACATTACGGTTGTTAGTTGACTATGCCTCCTCAAACTCATTGGCCTTGCAAAGAGTGTACCAGTGCGCTGAATTAATGAAATTCAATCTTTTCGAATGTAACCGCCCCAAGGATATGAAGGAGTGCGCAGATAAAATGAGGGCACTTGAGCAAGAATTTTATTACTAAATTTTCAAGACCACTTGATATGGTTTGTGCAAGAACTTAAATTCGCATGGTCTTACAAAGTGTATTTGTCGCAGAACTCGGTGCTACAGGGACAGACGGTTTATTCAACAAGCCAAGCTCAGCCAAAATGCAGCATTATTAGGTTATAGAGGCCTCGATGTAAATAACTAGGTCATTTCCATAACTAGCAACCTTTCTACATTTATCTGATTTTTCCATTGCATCAATCGAAAAAGCTCACTCCAGCACTACCAAATACGAACCAATCAGCATATAGGCGAAGATGCGTAGGCGTCCATTCTTCTGCTTCGCTTGCTTGTGGCAAGCTAGCCGCTTGCTTCGTCATGTAGTTCCGTACCGTTCTGCTTGCGTAATCCCATTACAGCATTCGTAGCTGGACAATAGCGTAGCTGCGCAAATTGGTAGGGGCAAATAAAGCAACACTCACTCGCCTACTCACTATCGCACGATCCGGAATGAATTGACGATTGGTTCATCCTAATGTGAACGAAGCGCGGCTTGTTTACAGAGAATGAGCATCAAGCGAACAGCACCTGAGAGCTAACAAACCCGTACCGACGACGCTGGACACAGTGGCGCCTGATCAGTTGAGCGGATGAACTCCAGATGTGGCTGATAGACAGCAAATGAAGTAGTTGCTGTCAATGCAGGCTGTGACCATAACCGCACGGGCCAGACGAATGTCGGAGAACCAACGCAATGTGGCATGTGTCAAGTTCAACGTGAGCCTAGCCGGACTAACATCGTTGTAGGGTTTGGCTGCTCGAAAATTAGTGTATAATGTGTGATGGTGTCAGTTGAAACTGAAATTTATCCCCTTGTATGAGCGTTTAGCACCTCCTGTTTTGCAAAGATCACAGTGATATTTGGTGGAATTGTCACCTGCGATTTCGTTCAATAAGTGTGTAAGTAAGATGAGACGATTTTGTGTGTTTTTGAATAGTATCCCTTTTCATTAAAATTTGGCAAATTCGTACGCTTCCGATGAATTAATTGTCCCGTTCACCATATATCTTTGTGTGTTATAGTACATTATCCAACAGGCCTGTATTCTGGTAGTCAAATTTCGTTCACTTTGGCCGGAAAAGGTAAAGAAACCTTACTTTCGCAACCCTAGAAACCATCCACTAGAACGACCGTTGGCGTGTTATCATCGCCAAAAGCAATACATCAGCCGTTTGAACTGACGCTTTGCTGCCATACAACCATGATGACCTGTGAAATAGAGAGTAATAAGAACGAGAGAAGGGGGACTTACCTGCAAATCTTAATGCCCTAAGTAAACATTCAAGGTCAAGGCGCCTACACCTTGTGTTAACAACACACCGTCACAAACAGCTGGCTATTGTGCGGCATCGTCGAGACAGCTTCCTTGCGGCTTTCACTGCCCCGCGCCATAATCAGCCATTACCCTGCAGATAACTCAGCACTAAACAGATATGAAACAAGCAGTCTGGCTGGGAGACGGCAACAGACGCGCCACTGGTGTCGGCTGCTAGCTATATCCTGTAGTCCCGAGTCGAGCACAAGGCGAGTCACGTGGACTCCAGCCCGGAAGGCGAGACGGACTAACGGCACCCAGTTTGGCTGTCAGTAATTTCATTCCCACCGTTGCAGCAAAACTGGATCTTGTCGTCGTGCGACGGTTTGCGTACCTCCTTGACCCATCGTGTTCTACTGGGTGATGCCTCCGGACAACTTGTGAGCTACTCCAACCAGCTTGGTCAATGGTAAGAGGTCAGACAAACTCAGTCTCCTGGTCGTCCAGGTTGGGGGTTTGAAATAAGATGGCGTCCATTTCTGTAAAACTAAATCACTGCCACCCCGCTGCCTTGCGGACAGGCTTTTGAGCCAAAGGCTTTGGATGAGGACCCTTATCGTCCTCCTGTCTAGGTCTGGGCGCCCTGGCAGTATCCCAGCCCACATACAACCATGACATATTCTCCAAACACAAACTTCATCCTGCATCGGCCGTCGCGCAGATTATCAAGGGTCGCCTTATCTGCTGCATACAGTAGCAGCATTCAGCAGTTTCATTTGGTGGCCTAGGCATCGTTTTTAAGCGGCTAGGCTCAGCAGCGATTTAGGGATGGAAATTTTCTGTTGCTATGCGGTATATGAGAATACGATGTTCGCTAAGCCGTCGGTATTCTGAGGAGAACACGCCGAGTAAACAAAGGCTCAGTTCGTTACTGAGGCCGAATAGTCCACGTATTCCCTTGGTGCATTTTCTTTGGGGCTGCTACAAGTGGCGAATGTCTCGTTTTAGTCATGGGCGCCAGGTTTGAACCGCATATTTAACGTGTGTTAATCAACAGTGATATTATCCGTCGCTCAAAATTGCTGAGTACTCGCCTCAAAATCAAGTTAGCCACATGCGATGCTCTTGAAGCTTGGTGCGAATTGCCAAGGCTTTCTTGCACTATGATATCTAAATCTCGTTCACTAGTCATGTGTCGCAGAACGTGCTTCCAAGATGTGTTGATGAACTTGGTGCGCACCGTCCGGAGGTGGCAATTTGCAAGGTTCAGTGGGAGCTGGTTCCTTTCAGTCCATTTTTCGATCCGGTGCAGAACGTGTTGGAGATAAGCACGGTGGGGGGCTGAGCGAATTGCTCTCCATATTTAGCATCATCTGCAAATATTTACTGGTAAGTCATTTATGTAAACTAAAGAAGCGGGCCGAGAACGGATCCCTGCAGTACACCACTGGGGACGCACGGGATTTCTGAATTCGTTTGGGTGATCATTGCCTTGATTGTTTCGTTGTTTAGGTAACGTTCCAACCAGGTGAGCAGGGAACCGTTGAAAATCTAGGCACCAAATTTTTGGAGGGGAACGAAGTGGTTAACCTTGTCGAATGTCTTCGAGAAGTCTAAGTAAATTATATCTAGGTGGACTCCTTCGTCAGCCGCCGTGGTCCATGAATCCCGAGCAAGGAGCAGATTGGTGAGGCAAGATCGTCTGTGTTTTAAACCATGTTGGAGGTTGGAAATTATCTGCAGACCTTTAAAATATCGCGCCAATTCATTTACGATTATCGACACTATCACTTAAGTAAAAATAAGGAGAGATCTGCAGTTCGCAGGATCCAATCGCTTTGTCTCTTTTATATATCGGAGTGCCGATTCCATGTTTCCATTCAGATGTTAGTGTATGGGAATCAAGTGAACACGACGCACAAAGGCTGTAGCAAGGGATGTAGGGCTGCTATGAAGGGGGTAAGGGTTTTATGAACCTTTGGGAAGATTCCCTAGGCACTGTGTTCTCAGAGAGATTATAACTAACTTGCGAAACTGCTGGGGTAAAGGTAACACTAGATAAACGCACGGTATTTGTTTAGAGTTAATAGAGCAAATGTTTCATGGTATTTGTAGCCACCGAGTCAAACTGCAGAAGTAGCGTGTTCGCGGTATCCACAGCAGTAGTCGTTAATCCACTGGTCGTCTTGAGTGGTAGTATCCCTTGTGAAACCATTTCTTTGCCTTCACATTCCTATGTATCAGTTTGTTGGTATACGTAAATTTGAGCACCATGGTCTCATGCTATTCGTAGTTGTCTTCCCTAATAAGTGACGTGTAGTAGTTTCTGCTTGTTTTGTACTTACTCTATGTTGTATTACATAGGCCTAGCATATGTTGCCTCCAAGTCTCGTCTCTTCTGTCGATCCAGTTACGAGTTCTGCTTCGGATCCAAGTATTGGTCCGGTGTGATACCCGTAATGGTACGAGTTTTGAGACTGCTCTTATTGTAACGAGAACGAAGCGGTAGGGATGCACAGTCTTTATTGCAACGCACAACGGGTTCGCAGGCTAGCACGCACGTCCGCGCGTATAGAGGACACTTTCAACCAACCACACATTGTCCCTTCGCTCGGTGTCACATGCATGCGCCTTTTTCAGCCGATCCAAGTGGTCCCTGTTAGCAGATTTGCACTCATATCTTCGTTTCCGCTTGTCTTATTCTGGCCTGGCTGGTTTCGTTCTAATGCGCTTGACTTGATTAATCGGGGTTGCATCGCTCTCCTCGTCCTTATTCCTGGAGGCGCGGCCAAAGGAGTATCTCTCTGTAAAATCGGGCTGCGCACCACTACGTGCCCCGCTCTTCTCGGCCTGGGCCTGCCATCGGTTGTCGTTCCTTGTCCATTTCCGGCTTGTTCCGTAGGCCTCGAGCTGTTTTGTTGAATTTCGTTCTAGGTGTCCTCGCTGGTTTTCATCTTCCTTAGTTTCCGCGGCTTGTCCGTTCCGCCTGTGATTTTTGTCTTCCATGTCACTACACCCGGTCCCTCTC